CGCACATTGAGTGTATATCTATCTATCTATCTATCTATCTATCTATCTATCTATCTATATATATATATATATATATATATATATATATATATACATTATTTATATATATATAAATACAAATATAGGCAGGTTTCGTTTTCGAAAAACCCTCGAATTTTTGATTTGCCAATAATCAAATCAATCTCGAGGGAAGAAAGGTTTTAAAAAAGAAAAGAGCTAGAAACATGAAAAGTGTGTCGAAAAAAATCGCACAGATGCATTTTGAATTGTTGCCAAAAAAACCCCGACACGAGTAAACAACTAACAAATGAGCTCAATACAACCGTAGAAAAGACCTAGATACACCTAGTGAGCCAGACAAACCTACCTAGGTTTCACTTAAGCAGATCCCATATTTGGTCAGTGGTATTATTTTGACTATCGCCTATAAATATTAGTTTCCTTTGCCTCTTTAGCCAGTTTTCCCTGACGATCCGCTTAGGTGAAACCTAGGTAGGTTTGTCTGGCTCACTAAGTTTATATATATATATATATATATATATATATATATATATATATATATATATAAGACAGTATATGTATGGAGGGGAATATACGAACGCATATTACACACATGCTGAGAGAAACACACAAAAATGGAAACAGATGTAAGAACACACAGGTGTTATTAAAACATTAAAAAGACAAAATGCCGATAAATAATTCATCATTTATCTTGGACCAACTTTAATTGTTTTATGACCCTTCGCGCAGAACTCTTCACTGCCAGTTCAAGAAAGACATTCGGATTACTAACACAAAAAAAACAGAGAATGTCTCATATCGAGAATATTTAACATTGAAAACATAAGGAAAAAATTAATTATTTTAATAATATGTGGAAATCTCCACCTTTTTACTGAAGATGGTCACAAGACCAGAAACCTGTGTAGTACAATTATGTAAAAAACAAAGCATAATATTTTTTAAAAATCCAGATTACAACCAAAAACGTTTGCGGCACCTCTCTTCTCTTCTTTTTAATATACATATATATATATATATATATATATATATATATATATATATATATATATATATATATATATATATATATATATATATATATATATATATATATATATATATATATATATGTATGTATGTGTGTGTGTGTGTGTGTGTTTATATATATATACGATTGTTACTTTCTCGTTACCGAATAATACATCACTCAACAGTTTTACCAGAATGCAACACAGATATGGCCTTTGTGCCCAGAAAGGGACCTACATTCTAAGACACACACACAAATACACAAACAGATAGATAGATAGATAGATAGATAGATAGATGAATAGATAGATAGATAGAATGGAACAGACTGAGATAGATAGATAGATAGATAGATAGATAGATAGATAGATGATAGAATAGAAACAGACTGAGATAGATAGATAGATAGATAGATAGATGATAGATAGATAGATAGATAGATAGATAGATGAATAGATAGGAACAGACTGAGATAGATAGATAGATAGATAGATGATAGATAGATAGATAGGAACAGACCAAGATAGATTGGAACAGACTGAGATAGATAGATAGATGATGGAACAGACTGATATAGATAGATAGATGGATAGGAACAGACTGAGATAGATAGATAGATAGATAGATAGATAGATAGATAGATAGATAGATAGATATGATGGGGAACAGACTGAGATAGATAGATAGATAGATGGATAGATAGATAGATAGATGGATGGATAGATGAATGGATGGAGACCATGATGGATTGGATGGGACTGAGATAGATAGATAGATAGATGATAGATGGATGGATAGATGGATAGATAGATAGATAGATTGGAAAATGACTGAGATAGATATGATAGATAGGATAGATAGATAGATAGATAGATAGATAGATAGGAATAGGGAATAGAATGAGATAGATAAGAATATACTGATCTATATTTGATTCATACGTACATATATATATATATATATATATTCAATTTCCTTCTTTTAATTTCCATTTGGTGTTTTAAATAAAGCAAGATAAACTTTGACTTAGCGGTTAATTTGGTAACTGATGACTGCGCTCTGTTGTTGCGAACTCATGGTGACTGGATAATTACCCAAGGTTGTAGTCGGTCACAACTGGGACAATTTATCGTGAAATTAGGTCCCGTTGATACGGGCAATTATCTTTTTCCCTCTCTAATCGCCTTTAATCATTATTTATTCAGAGCTAAAGAACAGTGACCAATTATGAATAACTATTGGAATAGAATTTGGGCGCTAAAAGAAAAAGACCAAAGTATCAGACGACTCATGTGGGAAATGCGGTGACAAAAATTTCTTTTTTTTTTTTTTTTTTTCTTCCTCGGGTTAAATAATTTCAAATTCTGAGAGTAAATGACTCAAGCAGCCGACAGTTTATAACCACGATGAAAGGAATAGGAAGGAAACAGCTTAACGCGTCATTTTTATTAGCGATTGAAGCCATATTTTCTTATTCAAACTTAAATCTTAACACAAGATGGGGCATGAAAGTGTCTGATATTTGAGGAAGTGATAATAATAAAATAAATAAATAATTAAAATTTAAAAAAAAATAAATAGAAAATATATTAATAAAATTAATAACACCAATAATAATAATAATAATAATAATAATAATCCGAACCCGTGTGTGTCTGCTTCGTGACCATAATTATATATTTTTCCTTTTGTTGGTTGTGTTGCTCCTGCTGTTGTTTTTTGTTTTACAATGATGTTCACCCTGCATAAAGCCCAAGAGCCACTTGAGGTAGAGTGTTACAGAATGAGAGGCACCACCACAAGCAAGGAGATAATGCAACCAAGACGCAAGGGGGCCACCGGAATTGAAAGAGAATATAAGGCTTTAGAGGACAACTGGTATCAAGAAGAAGAAGAAGAAGAGAAGAAGAAGAAGAAGAAGAAGAAGAAGAAGAAGAAGAAGAAGAAGAAGTATCAATAACAACAGGATTGCCTATCGTCCAGTTCACACACCTCCCCAATCTTTTGGACAAGAGTAGAGGTTTATCACTTGTTTCTTGTTTAGGATTGGGTTTCCGGTTACTTCTAAAGCCTTATTTTCTCTTTCAATTCCCGTGGCCCCCTTGCGTCTTCGTGGCATTATCTCCTTGCTTGGGGTGGTGCCTCTCATTCTGTAACACTCTACCTCAAGTGGTTCTTGGGCCTTGAACAGGGTGAACAACATTGTAAAAAAAAAAAAAGAAGAAAACAGCTGCTGCAACACCACCACCACTACCAATAATAATAATAATAATAATAATAATAATAATAATCTCTGGTTGAAACGTGGGGACAACTAGTACTACACAAAAATAAAGAGAAATGAAAATAAAAAAAATATCGAGAAATTGTCCAAATGTAAGAATCTGGAGACCGAGATTAACAGGACGTGTGGAAAAAAAGACTGAGACTGTACCAATAGTAATCGGAGCACTGGGCTGCGTGAGAAAAAGAATACACAGTTTTACTAAAAGTGTCCCAGGTAACATCAACATACAATTTTCCTAGAAGATCGCTTTATTAGGAACATCCCTAAGAAAAGTGCCATTAGGGACTAAGGACGAAAGGTTGCACACGGCTCTACAGGATACAAAGCAAGAAACGTAACATCTACAAATGATAATAATAATAAAAAATTTGAAGGATTCTGCAAAAAGCTCAAGAGAAGTGAGGTGTCTTCCAACACCATGTTTCAAAAACAGAATTTCCATTGATGTAGTCAATGGCCGACACCAACATAATAGTAGTTGTAGTAGTTTCATTTTACAGTTACAGATTTCAATAAAAAAACAAATAAATAGAAAAGTAAAGAAAGGAATTAACCCACAGAAGAATCTTGGTTGCTTCTTTTGAAGAAGGATTTTTTTTACAATGATGTTTACAATTATGTTCACCCTGCAAAAGGGCCAAGAGCCAGTCGAGGTAGAGGATTACGGAGTAATTTTATAATTTATTGGGATATGTGGAGAAAGATAACGGTTAACCCTAGACTTGTTAAGATTGTAATGATCGGGGAAGCATCCTCCTGGGAGTCAGTTACACAAAGAGGTAAGAAGCAAATTTTATAAGGATATGTATGGAAGATAACGGTTAACCCTAGACTTGATAGCTTAAGATTGTAGTGATCGTAGGAAGCATCCTTTTTATGTGGGAAGAGTTCCACAAACTAAACAGGTTAAGATTGTAGTGATCAGTTTCTGAGGATATGGGGTAAGATGACGGTTAACCCTAGACTTGAACAGGTTTAAGATTGTAGTGATCAGGATCAGGGAAGCATCCTCCTGGGAGTCAGTTCCACAAAAGTAAGAGGTAAATAGCACAGTTTATGAGGATATGTGGGGAAGATGACGGTTAACCCTAGACTTGAACAGGTTAAGATTGTAGTGATCAGGGAAGCATCCTCTTGGGGGAGTCAGTTCCACAAAGTAAGAGGTAAGTAGCACAGTTTATGAGGATATGTGGGAAGATAACGGTAAACCCGAGACTTGAACAGGTTAAGATTGTAGTGATCAGGAAGCATCCTCTTGGGAGTCAGTTCCACAAAGTAAGAGGTAAATAGCACAGTTTATGAGGATATGTGGGGAAGATAACGGTTAACCCTAGACTTGAACAGGTTAAGATTGTAGTGATCGGGGAAGCATCCTCCTGGGAGTCAGTTCCACAAAGTAAGAGGTAAGAAGCACAGTTTATGAGGATATGTGGAAGATAACGGTTAACCCTAGACTTGAACAGGTTAAGATTGTAGTGATCGGGGAAGCATCCTCATGGAGTCAGTTCCACAAAGTAAGAGGTAAGTAGCACAGTTTATGAGGATATGTGGGAAGATAACGGTTAACCCTAGACTTGAACAGGTTAAGATTGTAGTGATCAGGGAAGCATCCTTGAACTTGGGAGTAGGTTCCATAAAGAAAGAGGTAAGAGGCACAGTTTATGAGGATATGTGGGGAAGATAAAGGTTAACCCTAGACTTGAACAGGTTAAGATTGTAGTGATCGGGGAAGCATCCTCATGGGAGTCGGTTCCACAAAGTAAGAGGTAAGTAGCACAGTTTATGAGGATATGTGGGGAAGATAACGGTTAACCCTAGACTTGAACAGGTTAAGATTGTAGTGATCGGGGAAGCATCCTCATGGGAGTCGGTTCCACAAAGTAAGAGGTAAGTAGCACAGTTTATGAGGATATGTGGGGAAGATAACGGTTAACCCTAGACTTGAACAGGTTAAGATTGTAGTGATCGGGGAAGCATCCCCTTGGGAGTAGGTTCCATAAAGAAAGAGGTAAGAGGCACAGTTTATGAGGATATGTGGGGAAGATAAAGGTTAACCCTAGACTTGAACAGGTTAAGATTGTAGTGATCGGGGAAGCATCCTCATGGGAGTCGGTTCCACAAAGTAAGAGGTAAAAGGAACATTTTATAAGGATATGTGTGGAAGATAACGGTTAACCCTAGACTTGAACAGAATTGTAGTGATCGGGGAAGCATCCTCCTGGGAGTCAGTTCCACAAAGAGGTAAGAAGCATAGTTTATGAGGATATGTGGGGAAGATAACGGTTAACCCTAGACTTGAACAGGTTAAGAAAGAAGAGATCGTTGAAGTATCATCCTGGGAGTTAGTTCCACAAAATAAGCGGTAAGAAGCACAGATTATAATAATATGTGGGGAAGATAACGGTTAACCCTAGACTTGAACAAGTTAAGATTGTAGTGATCGGGGAAGCATCCTCCTGGGGGTCGGTTTAACAAAGTAAGAGGTAAGAAGTACAGTTTATGAAGATATGTGGAGAAGATAACTGTTGACCCTAGATTTGAACAGCTTAAGATTTTAGTGATCGGGGTTGGATCTTCCTTGGAGTCAGTTTCACAAAGTAAGATGTAAGAAGCAGAGTTTATGCGGATATGCGTGGAAGATAACGGTCAACCCTAGACTTGAAAAGGTTAAAATTGTAATGATTTTGCAGCATCCTCTTGGTAGTTTCAGAAAGCAGTGTTTCATGGGGAGAAGCAGCTTCAGTGGTTCGTTACAGAGTGCTTGGCATGGTGGGTCTTCCCCGTGAGTGTTTCAGATCTTAAACCTGTTTGTTCTCCTGTGCATATGTCTCGTAATTTCTCTCTAAGCATGGGATGCATGCATATATATATATATATATATATATATATATATGTTTCATTAAATAATATAGACAAGTGTTATCTATTTATTTTATGTGAATTCTTTTCATAACGTATGATGAGCGTCTTATATGCATGTGTTTATCGTTGCTTGGAAATCATCCATGTAAACAATCACAGACTATTATCACTGTCTTGTTCGTATATTGCTTAATATATTGTACAGTAATTGACATCTTTGATAATGGCTTATGTAAGCCGAAAGCTTAGATTGGATTAAAAATATGGATTAATATTATAATTTTCTTTCTTCGTTTAATGATAATGTTTTTAAGCTAATCAGACGTTATGAAAAGAATTTACATCAAATAAATAGACAACACTGAAAAAAATACTGCCTAAATACAAACAATATATATATATAATGAATTAGTGATTAATATATTGAGTAATTCGAAATTATAATTCGAAATGTCTCATGGATGATGCAGTTGTAGAAACGGACGTGACAGCGACAAGATAATAATAGACTAAAGCTTTGATTCTCAGAAACTGAAGTCACACTTGAAGGGCAACCGCGATTTCATCGTGAATTCCGGAACTATATGTCTCTCCTTGAAATATTTTATATCCACACAAGTGGACGAGTACTCTCCCCATTCCTCTCTCCCACTCGTCTTTCAGAGAGTGTATGCGTATTTAAGCACGTGAGTGCGTGTGTGTTTGCTTCGTAGGCTTTTGTCTCTTCGCTTCACGATCTTCTCAATCTTGGCTAAGCTGCGATTTTCGCCGGACTTCGGATTGCAATGAAAGTGTAGGATCATTTCTCACTCTTTTTTTTTAATTATTTGTTAAAAGTCCTGAAAGCCACACAAGATAGAGGGCTACTGAATGAGGTTATTGTGAGTGAGCAAATGGGAGAAGCAAGAAATACACACGCATACACACACACACACACACACACACACACACACATATATATATATATATATATATATATATATATATATATAAATATCATAGCAGGGACAAAAAGAGAAAGGTACACAAGTGTCTTTGAAAATTTAAAATATTTTCTCATGTTTTTATATGGTTTACAAACATAATAATATAAAATAAATATCATTATTATTATTATTATTATTATTATTATTGTCGTTGTCTTTTATGTCTCGAATTTCGTTCATCAGCTTAATACAGCTTAATACAGGGTGCGATGGATAAACTCTCTAAATGAGGCTAAAATGAAAATAACACTGAGGTCTTATTTTAACAGATATGCAGGGTGCGATGGATAAATTGTCGTCTAAAATGCCGCTAAAATGAGAATAACACTG